TGGACAGATGAGACCAAGATAGAGCTTTTCGGTAAAGCACATCATTCTACTGTTTACCGAAAACGGAATGAGGCCTACAAAGAACAAAACACAGTACCTACGGTAAAATATATGGTGGAGGTTCAATGATGTTTTGGGGTTGTTTTGCTGCCTCTGGCACTGGGTGCCTTGACTGTGTGCAAGGCATCATGAAATCTGAGGATTACCAAAGGATTTTGGGTCGCACTGTAGGGCCCAGTGTCAGAAAGCTGGGTTTGCGTCCAAGATCCTGGGTCTTCCAGCAGGACAATGACCCCAAACATACGTCAAAAAGCACTCAGAAATGGATGGCAAAGAAGCGCTGGAGAGTTCTGAAGTGGCCAGCAATGAGCCCAGATCTAAATCCCATTGAACACCTGTGGAGAGATCTTAAAATTGCTGTTGGGAAAAGGTGTCCTTCCAATAAGAGAGACCTGGAGCTGTTTGCAAAGGAAGAGTGGTCCAAAATTCCGGGTGAGAGGTGTCAGAAGCTTATTGATGGTTATAGGAAGCGACTGATTTCAGTTATGTTTTCCAAAGGGTGTGCAACCAAATATTAAGTTAAGGGTGCCAATACTTTTGTCCAGCCCATTTTTGGGGTTTTGTGTGACATTATGTCATATTTGCTTTTCTGCCTCTGTTTTATATTTGTTCCAATACATACAAAGGGAATAAACATGTGTATAGCAAAACATGTGTTAATGCAATACCTTTTTTGTGTGAAATACTTTTTTCAGGAAAAATATCAAGGGTGCCAACAATTTCGGCCATGACTGTATATATATATATAATGGGGAAATTGTATATTTTATATTTCCTTATTATTGTTGGCTCACAATATCTAATACGGAGACAAGGATGGTCACTTTAGATGACTCATACCAAAGGAATGTTACTGAACACTGTCCTAGTTCTTAAAAGGTCATATTACTTGAATGAGGAGTGGGTTGTCAATTGCTTACACACAAGTCCAGTATGTAACATACAGCTAGACTGGAAATATTTGTCTCGACCCAGAGCTTGCGTTAAGCATGTGTCTGTTCTGATCATTGGCTAAGTCATATAATGGAGGGACCTGTGGTGAAAAACACATCTTTAGTTAGCTATTCTTGTTATGTTTTCTTTATCTATATCTGTCATTATTTGTAATAAATATTTTACTTATAAGTATTTGTCTGATCTCTCTTTGCACATTTCGAATACAACCCAAAAACCCTAACAAAACACATGGTGCCAGGAGTGGGGTTCGATCGGTGTAAACTATATATATGAAAAATGATGCAGAATTGTGCTAGATTGTTTGTGCTGTTAATGTTGTGTTTTTGTTTTGTAAGCCATAGTACTTTCAGAAAGCATAGAAAATGTTTCAGATACTTAGCTGGTTTTATTGAGATGCTAATAGGTGATCAGGTGAGAGCCCATTCCTGTATTGGGTGGAATCCCATTTTGCTCATGTTCTTTACCAATCGGTGAAGGAATTGTTTTGGTTTGACAAATTGAGTGAGAGACTGATGTGCAAGGGAATGGTTGTATTGTCAGGAAGCTTCAGTAATGAAATTAGGGTAAAAGCTCTGTAAAGTTGTATATGAAATAAGTGGGAGCTTTTGAAATCATTTGAAGCAGAGATTGCTGCAGGTTTGGGACAACTGTGTGTATGTGACCCCTCCCTTGACGTTACTATGTAACTGATAATTTGAAACAAAGAAAAGAAAATGGCTGATCGAGGTTGACACCCTTTAAATTCCTGAAAAACAGCCATGATTATTATAATTATTTAAATTTTTAGCTTTCTATTCCAGCCTACTGGGCGTGGAAAAGGAAGAAGGGATGGAATACAACTTAGGCTCCACCCACTGACAAAACCTGTTTGTACCCCTTTAAAGACTGTCAGTTGAACAAGATAGTTGACTAGTAAAGTTCTGTACGACATGTTAAATTTATGACCAAGCTAAAGAGTAACAGCTTAAGTTAGGACAATGGTGAATGATCACTAGATATGTACATGTATATCTTTTTATTGTCCTTATTGGTGATTATAATGAAGTGTAATATTTTAGGAGTACAAAACTAATGATTGTTTTCCAAGTTTTTTGCAGCTGTTTGCAGCTATTTGCAGCTGATGTTTTTCTGCAAGTAAATCTGTACAAAATCAGAAAGAGAAAGAGAACAGACTTTAAAATATATGTGAACCCTCACCTTTTAAATTTGTGTATACAAATAAAAAACATTATAAATACCTTTTTTTCACCTTTTTATAAAATAAGTGGTCACATACTCTCTGTTCTCAGCTGCATAAGGCTCTTAGAGAGCTGTGAGAGGAGAAACAGAAATACACTGATCTTCCCAGTAAATGGCTATGCAGCGGGCGAATAGGGGTGCCAAGACAAGTCTGATCATTGGAGGAGAGCAGGCTGAATTCCAGCACAGCCAGAACACTGAAAGCGCTGTGCTCCCATGCCTAGTGTGATCAGTTTTTGATAGGAAAGCAGAGGGACTGGCAGAAAAACCAGGAATTTTACACTAAGGAAGCAATACAAAGAGGTCAGGATACTCTTTTCTTTTTCATACAAGTACATGGTAGAACAGGCACATATCAGGAATATGAAATGTTGGGTTTACATATACTTTAGGGTACCAATCATAGTCTATACATGCAAAAACATTTTTTATTTTACATAATCACCTTCAAATCATATAAGAGCAGTATAATAAAAGCTTTTTTATCATATAAACGTATTACACTTCAATATCCTGGACACCCCATACATTATAGCCAGCTATTTCCATTATAACCAAGATAATCATAGTACATTCATATAATTTCATATCTTGATGCTGGTTCTACAGTGGATGAGGATAACTTGATGCATTTCACAATTTCTCCTCCCTGGAAAATACTGGAGGTCAATAATGGCTGTTTATCTCAAAATTGCCCCACAGGTGTGGATTTAAAATCTTTGCTGTATGAGCAAAACACCTTTGAGTCATTGTCTCTGTAGCATAGTACATTTATGGCCTAGCCATGGTGTCTCCCTTTGTTATTTTTAGTTTTTCTTTTAAGGTTGGTCTTTGTATTGTCTTATATTGAGGTGATGGCTACCAGCAGTCTTTACTCAAGTGTCTTACATTGCAAATTTTGCTAATAAAAGCATATTTTGATAATTAATTTGAGTATCGCATTGTCCTTTATGTAACCACTTTTTCTTGTGAATTCTCTGTTCACATTATTTTTTTCTGTATGCTTTTTTTGTTATCGGGCAAAACACTGTGTACTTTAAGCGATACCTATTACTTTTAAGCCTCCATTTATATAGCTATTTAGTGGATTTAAAATCTCCCCTCAGTGAATACAGGGGCAATAAGAACAAATGGCTGAATAACAGGACTTTGGTTTATCTTGTTATAGGGATTTCATGATATTAGACACAGAGGGGGTTATTTACTAAAACTGGAGAGTGCAAAATCTGGTGCAACTCTGCAAAGAAACCAATCAGCTTCCAGGTATTATTGGCAAAGCTTAATTGAACAAGCTGAAGTTAGAAGCTGATTGGTTACCATGCACAGCTGCACCAGATTCTGAGTGCTCCAGTTTTAGTAAACCTCCCCCTAAAAAAGGACTACAACTGGGATAGTTTAGACCTCCACCTAATTGTGTGGTGAAACCGTGGAGTAAGAATCCTTAGAACATGTCAATATCTTGCTTGGAATAGCTTTCTTGAAAATATATTTCATGTGATGAGCAATTACAGAGGAAAGCACTGCACTTCAAACAATATGGTGCAACTTGCAATCAAACGAATGAAGTGGCTATTAATATGTTTTAGCACAGGGGCATGAAGCCACCAAAGACAAGAATAGTAAATACTGTATGATATACAGTAGAACTATCTAATAAGGAGCAGATGATCTAAAACACTCTTAAAACTGCCATTAGGATGTCACCACCACCCACAAAAGAGGAAGTCTAAAAGTTCCCATTCCAGCCTCACGGGGAGACACACCAATCAGATACCATGCTTAGAGTAAAACTAAAGGCAACATTTTACATATATATTGTACATTCACATCAGTCCCTGCCCTCAAGGAGTTTACAATCTAAGGTCCATAACTTACATTCATACACATACTAGGGCCTATTTAGATAGGAGCCATTTAACCTACCATCCTGTCTTTGGGCATGTGGAAGGAATATAGAGTTCCTTTTAGTTTTCGATAGAGTGGAAATGGATTCAGTCTCCCCATTTGTCCTGTTTACCTTTTATCACCGAAAGTGAAAGAAAATTACACATTTTGGGCTGGATCAAACCGGAACCTAGGTTGCAGTCCGCGTTCCTAGGCAATTTCTGTGCGATTCAGTGAGAGGCGATTGTGCTGAAATCACACTGGATCGCACCAAAAGTAGTTCATGCACTACTTTTAATAATGAACTGTAACCAGATTGCATGGCACTGTGGTATGATCTGGTACAGGCAAGCACACTGCATTTGCAATCTGCATTTGGGGCGCCATTAGGAATACATTGACACCCGCAGGAGATTGCATGCCCAGTGCTTTAACCTCTTGCCTACCGGGCACTTATACCCCCTTCCTTACCAGGCCAATTTTCAGCTTTCAGCGCTGTCGCACTTTGACAATTGCATGGTCATGCAAGATTATACCCATATGAAATTTTTATAATTTTTTTCTCACAAGTAGAGCTTTCTTTTGGTGGTATTTAATCACCGCTGGGCGCTTACTTTTTGCGCTATAAACAAAAAGTGTGCAAAAAATTTGAAAAAAAAAAGTTTCTTTGCTTCTATTATAAAATTTATCAAACAGGTAATTTTTCTCCTTCACTGATGTGCGTTGACAAGGCAGCAGTGATGGGCACTGATAGGCGGCACTGATAGGCAGCACTGAAGGGCACTGATAGGCGGCACTGATGAGATGTCACGGATAGGTGGCACTGATAGGCGGCACTGATGATGGATACTGATAGACAGCACTGATAGGTGGCACTGACTGGCGGCACTGCTAGGCATTGACTGCCGCAACTGCTGGGCACTGACTGGCACAACCGCTGGGCACTGACTGGTGGCAGCACTGCTGGGCTGCATTGATGGGCACTGATGGGTGGCACTGGTGGGCACAGGTGGGTGACACTGGTGGGCATAGGTGGGTGGGCACAGGTGGGTGGCACTGCTGGGCACAGGTAGGTGGCACTGCTGGGTGGCACTGGTGGGCACAGGTGGGTGCACTGCTGGGCACAGGTGGGTGCACTACTGGGCACAGGTGGGTGGAGCTAGTAGGTGGCACTGCTGGGCACAGGTGGGCGGAACTGGTGGGTGGCACTGCTGGACACCAATCATCAGGGCACTAATCATCAGTGCCCTGATGGTCGGTGCCGATCCCCGCTCTGACAACTGCCAGTTCTCGGCAGTACTTTCCTCATGCTCTGACAGCGTGAGAAAAGTGCAGCCGAGAACTGGCAATTGCATTTCCCGGTGATCAGCGTGTCATTGGACACGGCTGATCACATGGTAAAAGGCCACTGTGATTGGCCTTTTACCACATCACGTGATCAGCTGTGTCCGTAGGACACAGCGATCAGGGAGATCGCCGGGGGCGCGCAGGAGAGCGCGTTCTGGGAGGACGTCATATGACGCCCTCCCAGAACTAGCCGGCCACACTGTAGCTGTCATTCGGCTATCTGCGGGTGGCAAGTAGTTAAACACAGTGAAGGAAATGCACACAGAACGCCGCACTGTGCTCTGGTTTGAACAGGCCCTTTGTGTTGTCACCAGAACAGGAATAGAGGAGAAATCTTCTAATGTGGACACAACAGTAGTTCTGGTGACCATGGAGCAAATCCAGGAATTCCCTCATTCTGGAGGGATTTCCTCTCACGTTCTGTTTAAGCTATGGGACAGGAAGTGAAGGGAAATCTCTACAATAGGGTACAGATCGCAAAAAAAAAAAAAAAAAGCTGACAAGGGTTAAAACCATCCCATACTCTATTCAAAATGAAAAGGACAATAAAGGTTGCATTTAGTTTTACTTTAAAGCTGTAAGGAGATAAAGATGAATTACACATAAATTTGTAATATTATCAGCAGCCTTGATTCCTCAGCATGAACCATTCTATAAAAGGTACATACAGAAACTCCAAGATCAATCTACTATTGGTGACAGAGATGTCATAGTGATTAGGTGTTTCTGCTTCTAAGCACGTATGATAGTCTCAGATATTTTGTCATATTTTATGGCAGACACATTTACCCATTTAAATGACTGGAATGCAGCTAGCACAATGAAGACAGAAGAGAACAACCAGAAAGTAAACTGGATTACTTTAACTCTTAGATTGTAAGCTCCTATGAGCAGGGCCTTAACCCTCTTGTATTGAACTGTATCATTGCTGTATTGTCTCCCTTTATATTGTAAAGCGCTGAGCAAACTGTTAGTGCTATATAAATCCTGTATTATAATAATAATAATAATTTACATCATTCTGGACCATTCAGCACATTGGAAAAAAGGATAGGACAGGGAATTGTGCTTCAGCAAACTCGAATTCATAATATGTAGGCGCCCTCTGCTGTTAAATCCTTAAAATTGTTTAATGGAGCACAAAGTACAAATATCAGATTTCAAAGGATGACAAAGAGAAGAAATTTGGAGAAATCCACAAAAAGGCAGCATCTAGTGTTAAAATAAATAACTTGACATATTTATAACAAATGAACAAAATGAGCTTATTCAACAAAAACAATATGCAGAGTGTATTAAACAATAACAATATGAAGAGCTTGCAGCAATAAGGTGGCAACAAACGTTTTACTAATGTTTGCATACTACAAAAAAAACTGTTTCATTTTTTCTAACTTGAGTTCAAAGTGTTTTACCCAGGTGTTGTCCATGTATCATTAACACATGACTCTGTACTGTTAGTATACAAAAATGATCTTTTCTATAAACCAAATATTTAAATTTTAGAGCTGCCTCATTCTCCAGTCCAACATTCTATCTGTTGAAGAACATGACTAATGCTTAGACCTGCCTTTTTTGCACCAATCAAAAGAGCAGATCTTTCTGAACAGGCTATATAACTGAAAAAGTAATAAAATGAAGCTGCCTTCTTTTTGGTGAAAACCTATCAATCGTATTTCACTTAAGTCACTACAAGAAATGTTGATGGGTAACTAGTTGCTTCATGTGGCACACCCGATCACACTATAACATAGCAGTTCCTGGCAGTGCCTGGACAAGGTCATTGGCAAGCTGGGCGAAGATGCCAAACTGCTCCACCCCCGCTTCCCTCACCAATGTGTGAGCCTCACGCGACAGCACAAATCCCCCCTCCCCCCAAAAAAATTCTAGTACTAATTTGCATGCTCACCCCCCTCTGCATTACAAAATTATCTCCACATAAAAATGCTAAATTTCCCCCTCCTTCCAGTACAAATGCCCTTTTGTTAAAACTCCCCCACCCAGCACAAATCTTTGCCCTCTTTGTCACAATCATGCACACAGGGGAGGTGTGGTTCTCCATTTTGCTCCAAACTTCTGCATTTTGGTATTTCTTTTAAACTCCTATGCTATCACTTGAGGGGGGGGGGGGAGGTGTAGCAGCTGTGGACACTAGAGCCAGGCACGGCTCTCACTGTGTTAAGTCTTAATGTTATCCACTCATTCCCCCTCCCTCAGGAATGCAATCAGTGTATGATGCTGAGCCCCTGCCTAACAGTCCTCTGCCCAAACAAGGCTTGGCTTGTCCGTTGTAGGAAGATACCAGTTGATTTTGGGTAGAAAAAGAAGCTGTTATGCTTTGTGTGTAGACAGAGAAGTGAGGACCGTCTGTGTTTTAACATCTAGCAGACAGAGAGAAAGCAAAGTCTCCTGCGATGAACCAACGAAACTAGCAGTCGAGACCAGAAATCCCTTTTAAGCTCATCAGACTTGAAACTGCTTAACCCCAGGCATCTTTGTGGGCAAGTACTTATTTACCTAAACTTCTTTCTGTTATCTGTTTGCTGTGCTGTTGTGCTCTGTATGTTTATATATATATATATTATATATATATATATTGGTTACATCTTGTTTCTGTAAATATTTCTACTGCACCCTTTTGACCTTTTAGTAATAAATCTTACTTTCTGAAAGTGTTGAACTGTTTCTATAGCTCCTGAATGTAACTTACGAATCCCTGCCACTGAAGAGCGCTACTATGAGTGTTTAACCCTCTGTATAACCTGTCTGTGGAGATAGCGGGATACCGACGATTAACCAATCATCCTAGTGTATTGCTGGAGTTTCCTCTTTCTCTGTACAAAAAGGAGGTGGTGGCATTGTGAAGGGTTAATTGCGTAATTAACCTGACCCAGTAACAAACACTCCCAGGCTGCAGGTGCGTGGATTGTTGTCCAATTAGCTGGAAAATTGGTGTGCAGGGTGCAGCTGGGTGTGGCATTGTTACGCATGTGACATCGTGGTTTTAGATTGGCTAGTCCTTCGGTCACAAGTTTGGTGAGAAAGGCTGGGATCTGACGCCGCGCCCGTCACACTCCCCATCCCCTCTACCTCCCGGGTTCCCACCTCCTAGTTCAAATGCTCTCCAAGCACAAATCCTCTCACCCCAATCCCAGCACAAATTTCTATCCAAACCTCACCTCTTATCACATACCCCACCCCCCCTCAAATCCCTCCATCCTAACTCAAATCCTGGCCCCCCAACTCCCCTCTCCTAACCCCCACAAAAATCCTCCACCCAAGCACAAATCTTCTCCTCTCCAAATTCCTCCTCCTAGTACAAATCCTCTCTTTAGTCCTAGAACAAATCCTCCACCCCCTTCATTTACTCCTCCTAGCACAAATTGCCCCCATATATCCCCTACTAGCACAAATCTCCCCTCATCCCCCTTCCAAGCACAAATTCCCATTTTCCAATCCCCCTTTAAGAATGGGATGTCATTTTCTGCTCTGGTGTTTACTACTTTTCAAAGCCAGCCAGTGGAGTTTGATGCGGGCTTCCGCAGTGGTAGTGGATAGCGGCATCAGGGACCTGGGCAACCTGCAGGAGATGCAGAGCACATGCTCTGGGTGCCAGTGATGCTACTGTCTGTCAGATCTGGAATTTATAGGGTTTGCTTATCTGCCCCCTACTCACATTTTCTGCTGCCAGTACAAGAGCAGTCTAGGGAGTAGATATTGGTGGGTAAGCAAACACTGCCTAGTCCTGATCTCACAGTGTTCCTGTATTAACTCTTGTATCCAGGAGCACTGCACTGGCAGAAGGGAGGAGCTGAAGGGAGTGAGAACAGACTGAACCTCTTCTGGCTCTCTTCTCCTTTCCTGTTTGTCACTTCCAGCGCTAAGCTGTCAAAATTAGTGATGCTGCTGTCACCACTCCTGTCAGCTTGTAGCAGTGGAACTCACCACAGGGCTCCCCTCCCCTCCTCACATGAGACCACTGCACACAGGGCAACCACCCCTCTTGCCTCCTTATCCTGGCCCTGGTTCCTAGTCCTTTATTCCTCCCTTCTCAAACTAAGCCTCATTGTTTAGTAAGCATGGAAAGGTGCTTCTACGTTTGGCATCTTCCTCAGCTGCTGTAAGGGACCGCCCGGCGGTACCACTAGCACTCCACTGAATAGGCGCCCCCAGCGCACGGAATCTAAGTCCCAGGGTGCTTGTTCACCAGGGCCCCTGATGGTGGGGATGGACTTGGAACACCCCGAGACCAGGTCGTGGCTACTGGGTACGTCCGTCAGTGGTAGTGGTATGCGCCAAGGGCTCCCACGGGAAAGAGTCTGATATGAGGAGGTCAGAAGACCCCACTGCGAGGGATGGATGGATGGATGGATGAGCAAGGTCAGACGGGCCGGGTCGGTAACAGAGAGGACGGTAAGGTACAAGGCAGCGGGCAGAGAATGGTCGGGTCACACGCCAGGTCAGCAACAGCAGGTCAAATCCAATAGGGGGCATCCAGGAGAGAGGTCAGGCAAAGCAAGGGTCAGGACAGGAGAAATTAGCAAGGTCAGGTGCAATCCGGGTCAATAACTTACAGGGCACAGGTTCACAGATTCACAGGATGCAGGAAAGACCAGAAGGCACTGAATGACAGCTCAGGGCCATTTAAATATCCCGCCCTGCGCTGCCATTGGTGCCCAGCGGGCGGCCACGGCTTCTACTGCGCATGCGCGTACTCGAACGCCGCAGCCGGCCCGGACCTAGTGCCCGTGTCCCTGCACAGGGCGGCGCACTGCCTGCGCCGGGACCATCGCGGCGGGGACCGAGGAGATCCCTGACAGTTGCCTTATCAGGACTACAGGACATGAAAGGGGTATGTTAGTAGCTTCAGTGTGAAATGAAATTCTCTGTACAGTTATTATAGAGGCCCTGGAGCAAAAATGAGAAGATTAGGACAGGGGCCACCAGTGCCTGGGCAAAGTAACACCAATAAAACAGATCAGGAATTTTGAAATCATTGTGTACATAC